AGGCTGTGCTGATGCAGACTTGCTTCTTTTGAAGACGGGTCTGATGGATACAGTTTGCACCTTGGCAACTTTTCCACTGTGTGAGCAGTCCTTTAGGACTCAATGTGTGCATTTGGCATATATAACATTACACAGCCAAATAACCTGGGTTCTTGAGGGCACCAGACTAAGAGATGGTGGCAAATAAAGCTAAGATTATCTATCTGTAAGACTCCAAAGGGCTTCTTGTTATCTCACAGGAGGTAGCACTGTCTCCAAAAGAAGCTGGATGCTCATCTCATCTCTCTAGAACAATTTTTAATAAATTGTAGTGTATTGTAAATCTTCGTTTCCTCATCTGTTAACATCCCCTTTCTCTTGAGACTCTCAACAGTCAAAAGCCTGACTAAACCAAAACAGTTTTACCTGCGAGTGAAGGGTCTGGGGAGGGGCCATGGATTACGGGACAGAAAAAGCTGCCAGACCTACACAGTTGGCAGAAAACATGCTTATTCCAAGAAAGGTTCTTAGCTGTTTTTAAAATCATACAAAGCCAGCACTCATGGACTTATCCCTCTAATGTCCAGCAAGTCTTTGTTCCTTAGGCTTAAAAGAAAAATTGCCTGTAACTGCCAGGTCATCCGCACGGCAGAATTTAAATGCAAACATCAAACAAGTTCAGGCACACTTTTCTTAGGTGAAAACAAGGCCTGTAGCTACCAGCAAGGAGCCTGAGCAGTGGCTGTGAACTATCGTATTTCTGGCAACCCAATCACCAGGTATCCTATTACGAACAAACTGTTGCTATAACAACAGATAATAGGATTAGACTTGAAAGACTGGTTAATATTCACACAGAATTTAATAACTGAATCTTATTCTTACCAACCAGAACCTGTTTCATCAAAGGTTTGTTTCTGTTCCCTCTGAAGTCAGTAGCAACTTTTACTATCATTCCATTAGGAACAAGATTGAGCCTTTCAGATTTTATCATAATTTCAAGAGTTAAATTTTTCAAACTCAAAAGTATATAAAATTCCTGGATCAGATTCCCTTCAGAATTTTGGCATCTCAAAGGAGGCAGACAGCTTCCAATATGCAGCAGCAAACTGGGGTTCACCGGCTGACTGACTGCAGTTGTCCCATTCCTTCAGACATAGGCAAATGGAGAACACATGCTTAAGACAGGCTTCTGGCAAATCCTTCCTGAAGCACCAATACAATCTTTTGCACTGTGAGACTTACGCTTTGTAGGGTTTGTGCAAAGGGATAGATTAGTCCCAAGCTGTACGGAGAGGAGCAACAAATTGGCAAAGAGCATAAAGCTGTGTTTTTCTCTTCCTGTTCCACCAACAATTCATTCTCAAAAACACCTTCAAGCAAATCTTTCGAATTCCTAAAATAAATCCCTACCTATTACATACCTATTAGCCCTCTCTGAGTCAAGCTCCTGTGTCTAGAGTGCTCGCACACTACCAAAATCTTTCCAGTACTACAAATGGTTATGGAAAGAGAAAGAGACTATCTCATGCTCTGAATATACATTGCTAAGTTTTAGCTGGGTACCAGGAGAGTGAACTCTCATTCAAGCAAATGTGCTCCAGCCATGTAAAGTAATCCCAAAGATGTACACAAGGATATATAGGGTAGATTTCCTAAGTCAGAGTGATTATTCTTAAATACAGGACTATCTAGCATCTCGGCTGTACCAAGAAACGGAAACACTGAAGAAAACTTAGAAGTATTTCTTCTCATTAGAGCTCCCAAACTATCCTCAGCAAAATGGACAGCTAGTTCAACACAGGAAAGCATTGCATGTCCAGAGTCCAAATGAACTACTTACATGCTTTCAAAATTACTTGAACTATTTCACTCTGGAAGAACTGGCACCTGGACAGTGTCAGCTGTTACATTATTACACCAAGTGATATGATCTTGTTTGAGGAGTCAAGAACTATTTGTGAATAATTTGGTTCAGTGGATTAAACTGACTGTTAAAAATAATGTCAAAAAGTATTTTTTATGGCTTAGAATTTTAAAAAAATGTTGCAGGGTCACTGAGACATTATGTGCCTGTGCCACTTACGGTGGCTGCCAATAATTTAAAATATCCGATTTTAACAAAGAATGTCTGCACATAATTCCCTTTTACCCCATGTTCTCTCCTTCTCTCCTCTGCTTAAACACAGCCTTCTTTGTCCCTTTCTTCACAACTTCTCTCCCTACGTGTTACGTTCTTTTACTCTTTCACACAAATATGCACACTAATTGTTCTCTCTGTACACACGTTTTTTTCCTCATGATCTTACAGTACAGACACCCTCACGGGTATCTTCCTCTACCTCATCATCGTAACTTTTTTCTCTCTCTCTTACACATATGTAACAAAGACACATACATACCTGCCAAATCTAGCACAATTTGGCTACGGTTTTAACTGCACCTACTACTCAACTGCTTTATTAATCTTTTTTATGTGATTTTCATTTGGGAACCCCAGGTGAACGAGCGCTGCTCATGCTCATTGCAGGCATAGAGAGCATGGCAACGGCCAGACACCCTGGATTCACAGTGCAGATTGACTCAACACTGTGCACACACACAGTGCACAGTGCACTGTGCATGGAAAACCTCAGATTCACAATGCAGATCCCCGAGCACCGGACTCACGGCACATGTGCTCAGTATGATACTAGTGAGAAACATTACCGGACAGGTAATGTGGGATAGTTGGCTCCATGCACGCACAGCTTGGGAGTCCCAGCAGTGCACAGCTGGAATTGGACATGCAGAGTACAACAGTGTGGCTCTACACAGTGCCAGAAAGTATACTTCAACCTAATTAGCTCAGGCTCAATTCTGGCACTGCTAGTGACAGCGCCAGTAGTGGGAAGAGAATGACAGGGTGTTTATGGTCCTAGAAGGACAGGGGCAGGGTGGAGTACAGACACAAGACCAGCAGCCGTTTGGAGCTGGGGAGCAGTGGCACATCAGCACCAGGGCTAGAGTCAGGAGCGGGGTGCTGCCGGCAGGTTTAGTAACTCAGCAGCAGAGCCAGTTGGGTTCGGCATTGCACTGAGCTAATTAGTCCCCACCCTCAGAGCCAGCGCCTTGTGCTTCCTGCAGTGCTCAGTCCATGCTGCTGGATGACTCTGTACTGCATTCCCCAGCACATCCCAGATTACCCAGGTTTGCATTACACAAAATATGACATCTCCCCTTCCCTGGATGGCAGAGCGCTGACTGAAAATCTGCGTTTGTATCTAGGGATAACAAATGTCCACATTTTTCCAAGACATGGTCTCTTTTTCACTAAACCAGAATTCTCAGTCAGTAGATTTTGAAGATTTCTCCAAGATTTCTAGAAGCGAACCGTCATGTCAGCTTGCAAGTGAGTGTATTTCACTAGCTTTGCTGGGACTGCTGTACACTCAGAAATCCTACATGCGCTCACAGCAGAGCTACAGTGGCTCTGCAGCACAGGAATTTTAGAAGCACTGCATTTACCAGACACGCGTGAGAACTGTTGCTGTACAGCCGCACCATGGGTCTGACATCCCCAGCAGAATCTATTAGGTGGACAGAACGCATATGCAACAAATAGCTGATCTGTAACATGCAGTACTGCCAAATAGCTAAGAAGCACTGAATTCACTACAATTATGCTCTGGGCTTACTATTTAAGAGAAGCACTATGCAGTAGATCAGATACTTTTTGTAAACATGGGACTATTTCCACATGTTACGGAATGCAGGCAAACATACTCCTCCCTGGGAAATTCTGGAAAGAAATATAGTAGTTCTGTATTTAGAAATCCAGCTTTGTACAGGTGCTCCATCTGGAATAGTGTTGCCAATTCAGAAGACTGCATTTGTTAATAATTTATGCAAACATAACACGTGTTTTTATGCTCCAGAGAAAGCCAAGGTTCCCACTCCTCATCTAACTGGAGCTGACCCTAGAGATTCAGCTGTCAAATGGTTAGGAACACCCCTCTGGCCCATCCCTCAAACTCATATAAGACCACCTCCACCTAGATTTATAATGCCACATCGATAATCTTTTGAGCCATCTCCTGTTGGAGGGAATAACGAGTTAAGTCCAGTGGACACATACAACTTTATTTTCTTTCTGCTAAAAAAAAATTATATCCCTTTCTAACTGTATGTTTCTGCTATGGGAACACCCCCACCATCCAAAACTAAATTACGGACTGGAGCATTTTATTGCAGAACATGTGCCACCTGCTGCTTCAAGCTGAGAAAGACCTTGACAGAGATACAACTCACCATCTCATTCTCTTCTCCTTGGTTAAGCTGTGCATAATGGCTCTTGGCAGGATTTTCCCCCATGGAATGACCCTCTGGAGACTTTCTAAAGCACCCTCAGGACAGGTCTTCAGCGTTGTGTGCTTGAACTTCCACATTGAGGAAGTGCTCTAAGTACACACCTTCCTTATAACTCTGCTGATGTTTGAAGAATGGAGCTCCTCCCTCTCTGTGGGGTTAGCAGGTAACATTCATCCCTCCTCCCTTCATTCTGGTGTTGGAGTTTTGTGACTGCGAGGGTATGTGCAAAATTCACTCAAAGACACTGCAAGAAAGAAAAAGTTAGATCTTACAAGTGTTTGCTACGATATGACTCCGGGTCACAACTCTGATAGGTGCAAGCAAGTACTGTTGGCATGCAACTTTCAGGGGAGAGCGAGAGGGGAATATTTTTCTTCAAGAGATTATGGAATCACTGGAGACCAGGAGTGTGTCCAAATGAGAACGAAAATAGGCATTGCTGTTGTTAACACTCTTAGCAACCAGCCTGAACTGTGTCCAGCTGTGATCCCCACATATGCCTTGGAGAAAAATTCAAGCTCTGGCATTGTAAACAGGGGCCCCAGTTTGTGCAGGTGGATTTACGCACTGACTGTGTGTCAGGATCCAGCCATGTAGGATATGTAACCAGTATTTTGATTCATTATTAAGAATATCATCATAGAATGTCTTCTGACCTCACCACATAGCTTTGGGAAACATCATTAAGGTTATTTACTCACTCCTGGGGGAAAGTGGAGTTTCTCACTGATGTCAGTGAACTGGATACAAATGCCTCTGACCTCCAAATCAGAGCCAAAAGGAAGATGGCAGAAAAATAGCACTGAGGGTTTTATCACCTCCTTTTTTTTTTGGAACTGTCAGGCTGGATTTGTTTATTTGTCTTGTCATTCATTCTCCTTTCCTTGTCTTTTGTTATTTTTTAAGAAGTTACACACCAAATATTTTAGAAATGAGGTCAGGAGAGGCAAACCTGTTCTTCCAGCAAATATGTTAAGGAAACTAAAGTATTATTTCTAGGGTGACTGAAACAGATCAAGAGGTGCCAAATTAGTTCCTGTTCATCAGCATTTTACTTCCATGTGGCATGGATCTGTACAAGTGTCAAGCACCACGAAAGACCACTGCCTATCCTGCAGTAGGCAGGCTCAGCGAAACTGAAATGGGACAAATACAGGGAACAGAGAAGATAAAATGAGGGAGCTAGGTCAATCAATACAAGAAAAGTTGCCCACTGCTAATAATGTGAGCCAGGCACAGACCTGCAAACCAGATGTGCATACATGCACAGCACAGAGTTGTTTTTATTTTATGTTTGTAAAATGCTGGTGACAAGCAGCTTGCATTGGACACGTAGGACACTTTCAAAAGGAACCCAGACCAGAGGCAGGACAGGAAAGAGTATAACTGTACTAAGCTGTGTTAAGGGTGATTTGTTGCAACAAGATTAAGGGGGAACAAGCTGCTTTCCGTACCCCAGCTTCAGTGTTACCCCTTCCTTCCCCCCACTGTAACTCGGAGGGTAGCTTTGAGGGTCTCAACTTTTCATTTTGTTCTTCTGAGACCCAGGACCAGGAACTCTCCAGTTATTACATGAGAATCACAATTTTCAATTAAAAATTAAAAAGGAAGAATGCAATAAAGTCCATTTCTGATTACATGGGAAAACTGAGCAGTGCTATCTAGAAGCTATAAAAGACAGGAAATAACTGCAGAGGTACCTTTTCCAAGGCAGGCTGATGATGTTAGGAAATTACTCATTATTCTGGGAGGTGCCAGGACTGGAAAACAGGAGTGCCACACACACTTTTTCTGCTTGGTCAGCTTTTGCTGCTTCCCCAAATGTCAACCTTGCTTTTTCCAGTGCCTGTAGAAGACTAGGGTGTAGTAAGGGTCCTTCACTGCCCTTTCACAGAAAAGAGAGATGAGCTGCATGCAGAGCATCCCACCAAAACTGGGTGTTCAGGGAAGAATCAAGGATCATCCAGTGTATTCATTATTTATAGGCTTAGTCCAGCTCCTATTGACAATTTCTGTTCCTACAGAACACTCTTGTTAGGGAGATTTATATCTCCACATCTGAAAACAAATTAAAAACAGATTAAATGTGTAAAACATTCATCATTTCTATAGTTTGGCAACCTGTCATAATATTTCAGAAAAATCTGTTCTTCCAGAACCAATGAAGGTGGTGGAATTTGTTCATTTTCTTAAGCAGGTTCACTTTCTCCTGGAGAAAATACCTCTAAAGCAGCCTATATTAGAAACTTTAGTTCTATTATGACCTCTACTGTTCAACGTAAGAATTACACATTAGTTTCCAAATAAAAAGATATTTCTATCCAGGCCTATGGAATATCCTTATTTTTAAATTGAAGTTTGCCTTAACAACCAGACATAAATCACAAAAATAACTGGTCAAATTAAAATGCAAAAGCAAAGATAAGATTTAAAACAAAGACAGTCCTTTAAATTTATAAACATACAAATCTAAAAGCAAGCAAGAGACAAAAACATCTGCCTCGTCTCATCCCTACAACTTTTATCTCAGTCCTGAAAATACATGTATGTATTATGTTATCCTTGTGCAACTCATTCTGCTCTAGAAAATCCCACTGTACAAAACAGAAGCCTGGCCTATAAAACACCCCAAATCTCTTTTTCTGTTTAGCTGAGCATGTGAGACCCAGTTTTGGGCATATTAAAGAAAGGAAGCTGTGAACCAACTGGCGACAGTCCACTGGACAGCACAGAGAAGAATGGGAAAAGAGTCAGAAAACATGGAAGAGGGACTTATGGTTGTTTAATCTAAAGAAAAGGAGACTGACAGGAGTCACGACAACAATTTTCAAACATGTACATAGAGAAAATTATATTCTGTGTCCCCTATGGATAGAATTAACTTGCTACAAGAAATACTCAAATCAGGCACGAGGGAAAACTTTCTGTTCATGTTAGCAAGCCACTGCCAGGTGAACACTCCAGCGCCTGTGGTCTTTATGGGCAGGTGAGGCATGCACCTCTCAGACATGACGCAACTCGAGGTGATTCTGTCTGAGGGCAAATGGCCAGATCTGCTGAACTCTCCTGGTTCCTCCTCTGCCTCCGGATTCCAAGTGGTCCTGCAGCAAACCCCCCTCAACAACTCACAGAAGCCCATTTGGACACAGCTCGTGTTCTCCAGCTTTCAAGGCAGTGCTGCCACCCATTTCACGCACTTCTTCAGCGCAACAACAGCTAGGAATTCATTGGGGAATCTTATTTAGGCGGCGTGGAAGACCCTGGTACAACCAGAGGCCTCCATCCGGGGTTAGGCCTCTCGGCCCTCTCCAGCCCTGACCGGCCGGGCCAGGCCGCGGAGGCGAGTCCAGGCCGCCCTGGGGGTGCCCTGGGCCAGCCCCGAGGCGCTGAGGCCTGGCCTCACCGTCGCCGGGTTGTGAGGGGGACCACAAGGCCCTGCTGTGGAGGAGCCATACCCCCTGCTCCTCCTGCCCGGCAGTC